TCGATCTGACTATATGTATACTGAACTATCCACCTCATTGTGTAATTATCTGAGTAGCTGCTAAACGTAAATATGATTGATGGATAAAATGTGGAAGTATAAAAATGTCACCAAAGCAAATAAGTCAAAGTCAGAGTGAACACACAACAATGCTTTTCTTCCATATTTTTATCATTCGACATATCTGTTCTCTATATTCTCACTTTCAATAATTTTACTTTCTACCTTCGTTGTATAAATCTATTTTGCCAGCTATATACTAACCTACCTACCTATCTTTCGTTCCATAAATATACAGAGTGATCCAAAAGTTACTTTACTGAAGAAAAAATTGAACATCTTCATCATATTTTGACCAAATGAGCGGATTCTTTTATTGGTGATAAACTCAGTTAGTTGATGAAATGCTGTTCTGCCGTTAAAACGATGTTTAATGTCACATCGTTTAAACGATGATATATTGACCAAATTACGCGTTTATCACAAAAAACGATTTTGTATGTCATAAAGTAATATTATGTTCTTGTCGCTTAAACTTCGAATGGTAAATATCATAAATAGTGGTTCGTTGGCGTTAAAACCATAATTTTTCATTATTTCATCTGTCGTAAACGATTCTTTACTTGAAAAAAAGGTTTAATAGTGATCATCATTCATTATCTAATGTATGCGAAAAGGTGATCGAATATCGATCTACATTAAAAGAACAAGTTAATAATGCAATATCGACAGGCAAACTACATCGATTAATACCACAAGATCGTTCTCAGCCGATGCAATTTCAGATGAAAGAAAAAGAATTTTTATCATTACCATCTCAAATCCAGGGTGCTACTCCTTGAAAACTAGCTTCAGCACAACCATCAATAACAACTACTATGAATGGAAGTGAAGATACAACAAAGATGTTGTTGTCGATAAATCCAAATATATTAGATATGAAGGAGAATACTCATCGTATAGATAAAAAATTAGATCATATGAATGATATGGTTAATCAAACAGCTCTAGATACAGAACTAAATCACGAAACATTGGTAAAATTACTGCCTACGCTCGTATCGATCGTTAGTGATTTTATTTGGCCAATGATGAATCACAATCTAGCGGGATTGAGTAATAAACAGCCGCTATTGCAAAAACTATTTAGTAATTTAGACGCATTATTATCTCATCTCAAATCGGACTATCCACCTCGCCGAAAACGCAGTACATATCCTTTTCCACGTCTCTCTCCATCTCAAAAACCGTCAAAAGCATCTAAGAACATTTCGAACAATGAAACTGATCAGAATATGAGCAGATAGATGAGTACTATGTTTTCAAACTTGAGAGTTGATGCCAAATCTTTCGTTCCTTCTAGAAAAGCTAATCTTAAAGAGACAGCGATGAATCAGTTTTGTCAATGGGGATTCCAGACAAGAGATCAGAAACTAGTAGGCGAAGTTCTTTCAGAGTGGTTTACAACCGGTACCGTAAAAAATATTCTTAGACAATGGGAAAATATAACTCTGAAAGAATTAGAAAAGGTACGAACTTCTTTGAATATTCTCTGCTATAACGTGCAAGGTTGGGGGTCGAGAGACTTAGAAGTCATTGATATTGTTTCTAAACATATCAGCATGGAACTAATAAAAGTGGAGGTGCGTGTGTAGCAATAGGAAAACATTTCAAACGATTACGTCTCAGTTTTAATGTTGAAAATAGAGTTATTGTTGATGTTATTAGTCTTTCTGAAACAATTAGAATAATTGCTATTTACTGGCTATCAGGACAAACCCGAGTGTTAGAAGAATTAGAACCATATATTATTGAAAACACTGTCATTACTGGTGATTTCAATGCAGCCATAAAAAAATGGGGTAGCGCGTCATCGGATAAAAGAGGTAGACGTTTGAAAGAATGGATGGGAAAAAATAATCTTTGTTACACTCCATCGACGTCGCATTCATGAAAACGCTCGAACAGAAACATTGATTTAACGTTTACAAATATGGGAGAAACGAGAGAAGAAACTTTAAAGATGGATAAAAGTGATCACTGGCCACAGATGATAACGTGTGAGAATGTTGGTTTCGATAAGAGTAGAATGTTCTCATATGTGAATTGGAAAGTGTATGAAGTCATTCTCACGTTGTTACAAGAATTTTGGTTAAAGGAGCAAAGTAGAGGTGTTAGCGTTCACGCTCACGAAGAGCGACGAACACAGTTAACGTGCGTATGTGGTTTATTCTCTCTCTGTTTATTCTTTAAGAAAACAAACGTTTATATACGAACATGAAAAACAAGGACAAAAGTAGAAAGGAATAGAAAGGTTAATCAAGGACAAAGAAGACCAATAGAAACGAAATAACAGAAACGAAAATATCAAAGAAAAGAGAATAGATAGAATCGAGGTATATGTAGTTACAATACACTGTAACATACTCCCCTATCGAACAAAAAATGTGTACTATCAACATTTTTAGAAAGGAAAAAAAACACCAGAAAAAAAACAATGACATAGGAAATACAAAAATGTGTAATATGAGATGCAAAAGAAAAACAACTATAACGAAGGAAAATCTTTCAAATAAACAGTTAGTGTTTGAAAAAGAAAAAAAAAACAAATGCAAACCAAATATGAAGAGAAAAGAAAAATGTTTAACAATCTAGAAAAATAACAGAAATATACCACATCTTTAACGGTAATATGTGTAGACATAGACAAAAACAAAAAACGCGCACAAAAGAAAGAATACATGTTCACTATGATACTAAAAAAAATGATGTTCATATAAAGAAAATGAACGCATATTACTCAGATGTTGTTCGACGTATAAAGTTGATTTTTTTGTTTGATGTTGTTTAACTTTGTCAACTAGTTTATATTCATATTAACTGCAAATAATCTAATACTACATGTAATAATTTTGTTTGTTTTAAGTGACAAGAAAAAAAAAATATGATTCATAGATTCATTAATATGCCAAAAAACAGGTTACGAAATCTTGGTTTCTTTCTCGATTCTCAGTGCGCAGATGAGAGTCTAGTAAGAATAGATTGAATATTAATTATATCCAATAATTAAATTTCGTATAATAGAATAATAAATTATAATAAATAGGTACCAAATTAGATTTAATAGCCCTTCACAATCAGTGAGTTGGGGAAAGTCACACTCCCCGATCATGCTATGCTAAATTAAATTCAATTTAATTAATCGATTAATAAATAATTATTCCATCTAATTTGACATATTTTTTTTGTTTTTGAAACGGATCTTTTCGACAAAAGATTCCCAGGAACATACGTTTGTTCGATGATTAAAATTATCATATCAATAATAACTTGCAGGTATTGTGTGCTTTGATATGTTTAACGAGAAAAAAAAATTTTTTCTTTTTTTTTTTTTTTTTTTGTTCCACTTGATTATTGAGAGAGATAGATATTCGGTTGTATAATAAATTGATCAGTCGTAATCTTGTCACGAGTCTCAATTCAATAGAGGCTCTTATCAGTATACATATTAAAATAATTTTGATGAATTTTAATAAATTTTTTTTTGTTTTTTTTTGTTAATTTAAATGTTCTTGTTTCGCCAGGGTCGCCAAATGTTAGCGTTCACGCTCACGAAGAGCGACGAACACAGTTAACGTGCGTATGTGGTTTATTCTCTCTCTGTTTATTCTTTAAGAAAACAAACGTTTATATACGAACATGAAAAACAAGGACAAAAGTAGAAAGGAATAGAAAGGTTAATCAAGGACAAAGAAGACCAATAGAAACGAAATAACAGAAACGAAAATATCAAAGAAAAGAGAATAGATAGAATCGAGGTATATGTAGTTACAATACACTGTAACAAGAGGAATGAAAGCAGATGACGGGTATATGAATTATATGCGCTTTCTTGCTGCTTTAAAGAACAGACTCACAAAATGGAAAGAAAAAGAAAAATTCCGACCAGCATGGCCTCTATATCTTATTCAGAAGCTTAAAGAAGTGAAAAGAGTAAGGAATAAATATTATCGCGAGAAAAAAATGCTCAATACCAGAGGTCCAAGCAGGCCGCCTTTTTATAGGCCTGGCCTGCCTGTGCCAGGCTTGTGTCTTCCATGGCCTGCCTGGCCTGTTAACTTTTTTTCTTCGGCCTGGCCTGCCTGCCTGCTATTTTCTCCGGCCTGCCTGGAAAGGCCTGTATATTTTTTTATTTCAATAATATGATGATAACAGAACAGAAATAACAAGATCATCATAAAAAATGAGGCAAGTGACTTGTTTAAATTTAAGATGACTAGATTAATCATTTTTTATTCAACAGTTTTGATATTAAATAAATAACTGAGCACAAGGACAGTAGTATTAAGAAAAAAAATGTGGATTTTGTTCAAGAAGATTTTGAATGGATCTGACAAAAAGAATGTCATTCACGGTATCAGGATTAAGAGAAGAACGACGTTCAGTAACAGCTAAACCTGCAGCAGAAAAAGAGCGCTCGACTGCAGCTGAAGTAACTGGTATAGAAAAAAGACGTCGAGCGAGCAATGATAAACGCGGAAACTTGTGCTGGTGATGTTTCCAAAATGATAATGGGTTTGATTGTTTATAAATATCTTCAATATTCATTCTTAAATATTTATCTAATTCATCATTTTTAACTATTGTTGTTAAAACCATATCGATACTATCAATACCACCAACATCATCTGGATCAGCAAACTGGTCCTCCATGGATTTATGGTTTTTTTTTGATGGTTCAGATGATGTCACTTGTTCTTGACTATTCAAGCGAAGAATTTCATCTATTTGTTGACGTATATAAGAATGTGCAATGGTCTTCGAATATGTTGAAGCAAACGTTAATCTTCTGTATAGAGGATGCAAGACTGCAGCAGCCAAATGTTTTTCATCAAATGTAAACATTGTTCGCAATAGTTGAAGTAACCGTCTACGAAAAAACTCTGTACCTAATTACAAGAAAAATAATGATGATCAACAAATAGTTTCATTAATATCTATTAATCACCTTCGTGACGATCATCAATAGTAATAGATTCACCATTTTCATCAGCATCGGTACCACTTAAATGACGTTCCAATTTGTTCATAGCAATATAGGCCATGTGCAATGATGGACGTGTTCCAGTTTGTACCAATATACACACATCTTTGAAAACTGATAGAAGACAAATTAAATCCTTCAGTCCATCTACATTGATTTTGATCAATTTAAATGCTTGTTTACTATTTGTCGACTTTGACAATACTAATCGTAGATTTTCATAAGACAAATCTATCGATTCAAGTAGATTGGACAAGGACAACCAGCGTACTATTGTTGCTTGTTTAAGAACAACACCACCACCATCTTGAATTGATTTATTTAATCCTGCCTGTATGAAAGAGAATTCCATTAAAATAAAAGATGGTAAGCTACTACTGTAAAGTTTTTGCTGACCTGTTTAATGTATTTAACTAATTGTTTACTTGTTGTGATAATGTCTAGTAATTCACTTGCTTTTGATGTTAATTCAGAAAGTGACGTGTTTAATTCTATATATGTTGATGGTGATGGTGTTTTAGTTTCATCTTCTGATGAAGTATCATCTGATGAACTTTTAATAATAATTTTAGATTTTTTTTCTTTTGTTGTTGGTGTTGTTGATGCTAAAATAATTCTTTTTTTTCTTTTTTGTGCTGTTTCATAAAAACATCTTTTAAGGATATTGTTCATCCGATGCGCAAAACATAATATAACTGGTTGTCCTAATATATCAATTTAATTTTTAAAGAATGAACTAAACTTAGAATAAACTTGCCTTTGAGAGCCTTTAATATATTTGGACCACGATCACATGTAAATACAATTTTATTGTTGTCCATGTATGATGTCAAGCCATACAAATCGAGTTGATGACGAATAGCCTAAAAAACATCGCATATTCATAGTTTGATCGTTTAAATAGTTTGCTTACTTGCAATACACAATCACCACTTTTATCTACTTCTTGGTACTCACAACAACATAAATCCAATAAAATCAATTCATAATTTTTATTGGTAAACATAGCTGTTAAACCGAGATAATTCACTTTTCTATATTTATCAGTCCATAGATCTGGACATCAACACAAACAGCTATTTGCTGCTTGTTCAATTAAGATTGGTTGTAGAAGTGATCGATATTGTTCAACTAATTGATGAACGTTTTTTGATATTGTTGTTGGTGTTACTAAAAGCTGAGAACTAACGAGATCTTGATATTTCCTACCTAAAGAGTATGAAAATTTACTTCACAGTACACACAAATCAAATCGAACTCACTGAAGTCCATAGCTGTTTGCAAGACGTTTCTCAAACCTGGATCTTCGATGATATTAAATGGACGAATTGAGGTGCATATCCATTTAGTTAAATCATCTTTTACTTTTGTGGAATCTTTTGAGTTTAACGTAACTGAAGTCGTTTTTTTCGACTTAAATAATTTCTCCAAAGGACCTTCGTGATAATGTTCTGATGAAGGTGTTGATTTTGAACAAACATGACGTAAAAGATGTTTCGTACTACCACTTCCGTCTGAATGAAATGTATAGGTTGATTTACATTGAAAACAACTTGCAAGACCATGTATACGTTCATATGTACCATTTTCAATTAATCGAGCTGGAAATCCAAAAGTTGCCCAAGCAGTAGATGATTTTTTCTGATTGTTTTCAATCACTTTAAATTCTTTACGATTATCTTTACGTTTTAACATGTTTTCAATTGAAGATGCTGTAAAAGTTTGATTTATTTGTGGACGAGATGGAGAATCATCAATAAGGATCGGAGATGAAAGACCAATATCAGTCATTTCACGAGAAAAAACAGTTGAAATATTAATACTTAAGTTTTTCAGAAATAAATAAAATTTTAACAAGAATCAATAATGAAAATTTATACAATAACCACTAATATTTTAACAGCAATCTATGATGAAGATCTTAAAAACCAATATTAAGATTTTTATAATAATCAATAATGATTGTTTTAACAATAATCAATAATAAATGATTTGACCAAAATCAACAACAAAGATTTTGATGATAATCAATATAACATATTTCAACAACAATAAAAAATAAAGATCTAAACAAAAAACTAATAATAATTGTTTTAACGATAATCAACAAGAAATACTTCAATGAAAATAAATGATCTTCAAAAAAAGTCAATAATAAAGATTTTTATAATAACCAATAATGATTGTTTTAACAATAATCAATAATAAATGATTTGACCAAAATCAACAATAAAGATTTTAATGATAACCAATATAACATATTTCAACAATAATCAAAAATAAAGATCTAAACAAAAACTAATAGTAATTGTTTTGACGATAACCATTAATATATATTTTAGCAGCAGTCGATATCAAAAAACGACACGGGTGAATGAGGACATATACATTAAAAAGAGAGGCAGTATGTTTGTTCTAGTCATTAGTCACAATTTCAACAAATCGCAA